TTCTTCAAGAACAATATTAAAATTTAAAATGACGAAATTAAGAAGTTGTATTTATATTTTTCATGTTTTTTTCACAGTAAGAAACAATCATTCGAACTTCCGGACATTCATTACATAGATGATTCATATTATTTAATCCTATTGTATTTATATGAGGTTTATGAACAGCAAATGGTCGAGGATGATAAATAGTTTCAACTGAAAATTTTTTTGCAATTGAAACAGGTGCAACATAACCATTAACATAAGATAAATGTTCAGTAAACCATCCGTCTTCATTTATTCCATGTAATCTATAATGATATTTATTACTTTCAATCAATTCAAGTATTTTTAATCGATTTCTTAATGAAAGTCCACCATTACAACAACCACCAAGATACCATGGTGCACCAATAAAATCATATTGTAAAAAATTTGTTAAATTATATGAAGAATTTGAGCAAAGAACAGAATCTATTTGAAATAATAATACTTTATCACCGTATATTTGATGCCAAAATGATGAAGAAGTTAATATTGAATTAATATATTCATCACTTGATAAACCATTTGATGATTGATTAAGTCTTGTTAATAAAACACGATCACTTTTAATATATTGATTAAGAGAAGATTTATTATAATATGACCAATGTTCATATAATGTCATTATTTGAACTTTCCAATCAATTGGAATATGTTCTAAAACATTATTTACTGCATTAATAACTAATTGATTTGCTCTATCATCAACAATTAATGCTATATAAGGATATCTACTTGTCTTATTTAATGTCTTATTTAATTTATATTTAAATATATTATTTTTATTTGAATAAATAATTATTGTTGAAATAAATATAAAGAAAACTAATAAACACAATGATCGATTTGAAAAAAATTGTTTATTCAAAATCAATTCCATTATCAACTAGAAAAATAGAAATAAAAAAAGGTTTTTATTATTTAAATATATAATGAACTGAATATGTAACTCTAATATTTATTTTCATAATCATTTTTCTTGAGCTATTTTGTTGGGTCAAGAACTGTCACTATTTCATTATGAACATATCATTATTAGTTATCATATTAGACAAGAGAAAAAGGATTACATATAAAATAGATTAATGTTAATGGAAAAGATAAACATTTTTAAGAAAAATAATTCAACCAAAATGAAAATATTCAACTAAAGTTATTATGTTATTCTATTTATCAAAACAACGTGTCGTTCTATTATTATATTTTCATAATCATATTTTATAAGATTCAATTCATTTTTCATTAATTCAGATAAAATATCATTTTTTTTCTACTATAATGTTAAAATTTTCTTAAGATGATTATTCCTCTTTCTTACTCTTAAAAGTGTATTTTACTCGAAAAAAAAATGAAAATTAATATAAATACATGAGAATAATAGGACGAGCTTTGATCCGTTTCATGATTGACATTAGTTTTTATTCGGTTCCTCCTTATTTTGTCAAAATTTTTGAGAATTTATGTTAATATCTTATCGAAAAATTAACTTCTTTTCAAAAAAATTAGTCGCAAATCTTTTTCGTTTTTCTTCTCTATTTATACTTTTTTTATCGTTAATTTCACAATAATTTGTAGTTCTTCATTTTATTTCATTGTTTTGAAAGAGCATTCATAAAATATACGACATGATAAAATACTTTTTTTAATGAATCTTTATTACTATTAGATAAAAGGGTCATTTTATAATTATAGAAACATTTTTTTGTAAATTAAACTTTTTATCTCTTTTCTCCACTTAAAGACTAAAAATTAAAAAAAACAGGTATCTCTTATTATATCATGCATTTGAACATGCTATTTCAAACAAAAAAGAATAAACTATATTAAATGATCGATCACAAAGAATTTAGGGGTTACCAAATAGGTTATTTTTCAGCTTTCTTTGTTAACTATATCCAGAAAATATCATTGGTTAAGGCCTAACATTTTAGCATAGCGTCTCTATCACAGCTCCAACATATCTTGAAATTTCATGTCACTTGAATATATCAGGCGCAAGATCGATATTTGAAAGCAGAAGAGAACAGAGAAGGAAGATGTTGTCAACAATAATCATTATCAATGTATAATATCAGGTAAAACCCAGATGAAAATTTGTGTTTACTTTATATTCTCTATAAAGATATTATATTTCTTCTTCGAGAGTTGGACAACGCTTCGATCGGTATCAAAAATGTTAATATTCAGCGGAATTTTGCCCTTCAGCTCAAAAATTCTCCCCTTAATGACGTCAAGTAAGACCACACAATAAGAAAAATAATTCTTCCTATGAAAAAAGAAAATGCATAGGAATAATGAAGACTGTCATAGGAAAAGTGAAATGGAGAAATGAAAAATGATTTGTTGTATGAGAAAAATGTTAGATACATGAATAGCTATATACATTCTATTGCAGCGGAAAAATGAAAACGCATAGGAATAATGAAGATATGTAGAGGAAAAAGGAAATGAAAAATTTGAAAAAATAATTGCTTCTATAAGAAAAGTGGTAGATACGCGAATCATTATATAGATTCTATTGTAGGGGAAAAATGAAAATGCATAGGAATAATGAAAATTTTGATAGGAAAAATGAAAGGAAAAAATGATATGGTGGGGAAAAATTGTATGATAGTTCAAGAACTATATAAATACTAGCTGAGTGGATGAATGAAAATTTGTAGGAATAGTGAGTACTGCTAGAAGGAAAGTTAAAACGAGGAATGAAAGAATGATTTGATGTATGAGACAAATTGTTAAATACTTCAATACGTGGATAGATAGATGTTGAGCGAGAAGATGGAAGGTGATAGGAATAATGGTTAGTCTTATCAGACTGAGAAAATGAAGGAGAAGAGAGAATACCTCACGAGAAAGTAAGAAGTGTTTTGAAAAGTGCGCAGCTGAATATGAAGATGATGTAGATATGTTCATTAGTGTAGTGTCATTCAAGAAGATTGCTTTAAGTTGGACTTGTAGGAAGGAAATATAGTCTGTTATAATATATATAGTGTTATTGTGGCGAAAAATAAAAATGAATAGTAATTATGGTCAGTGCTGTAAGAAAAGTTTTTTGGAGAAACAGATTTTTGCTGTATCTTCAGAGATATATGGTTTATGGTCGGTTAGTCGAAGTGAATATGGGATGGTATAGTATCTAGTAGATTGACAACGTAATGATGAAAATTAGATGATCTATGATATGACGTAAACTTTTGTGTCTATGGAGGGGGGGGGGCGGTACAAGCGTTCCTTTTGTGAATGGTAATCATAGAAGGATGAGATACGAATGAAATGTGGACGCATACGCATATATGTATGTGACGGTCGTCCTATATGAACAGAATGGAAAAAAATTCATTTTTGTCGTGGAAGGCATTTTTCCGCTGAAAGTTAGCATTTATCTCACCGATCGATTTGTTGTCCATTGCTGTCTTCTTCGACAATTTCATTATGAAGTAAGATAAAGTTTTTGCTCAATAACAATTAGATTTGTGAAGTAAGATCAAACTAAAACTGACTTAATTAATTTACGATTGCTTGAATAATGAATTATAGATGTAGATATAAGTGATAATCGATCGACATCTATTGCATTTGTAAAATCTGAAAATGAGTTATAATAATATAAATGTTGTGTTTCAAAAGAAAAATTGAAATATAGTTTTTCTTGCGTAAAGAATTAACGGTAAGAAGAAATTTATTTCCGTGTCATGAACAGACATGCTATGCGAGTTTTCCATATAAGAATAAGTTGGCGTGTATGGTGACTCTATCGAATCAGTCTTACGCATCGTTAGATTTTCTAAGGCTTCGTTTATTTGAAAAGAAAAAAAAGTAAAATTGAAAATAAATTTATCTAACGGATGTTTTATTTTGCTTTTCCAGATCAAACAAGCACGGTCATCAACGACCTTATATGAAAAAATACGATGATTTACATGGTCGCGTATTACGATCATATATCTCCGTTTTGCTTCGTTTTTCTCTGTATAAGATCGTAATACGTGACCATTAGGGGTGGCACTTTATCTTTACTTTATTCGGTAAAGTAAAGATAAAATGTCATCCCTAGTGACCATGTAGTATGGCAAAATACGGGTCGTGTACGATCGTTTACGAGCATATACCGATTCCGCATTCATCGACGTGGATTTATTATATTCTTTGATGTGAGAAAAAAAAAGAAGAAAAAGAAAATATAAGAGATTGGATAGAAGTCTATTATTATAGATCTCCTTACATATAATATCCGTTCTAAATGTGAGCCTTTAAAAGACATTTTTTTGTTCCTTGAGATGCTTGTTTTATCAATGTTCTATGTTACATAGTATCTGTCGGTCGTCGCATAATTATGCGATTCTTTTCTTTTTGTTCTTCTCCCTTTTTCTTTCTTTCTTGTTTTGTCTATTTACATCTTGTTATTGGAATAGTTTCTCGACCTACTTTGTATCGTTTTATTAAAATTTTTTCATTAGTCTAAGTCAGATAAGAAGATGAATGCATTATATTCCTTTTCCTTTTCTCAAATAAACAAAGGAAAAGAAGAAGATTGCCGAGTTATTCTCTGTCTTCATTTTTTCTTTCTTCATTCTCTTTGTGAAAATAGGTCCATTATTTTTTTAAATAAGAACATAACGTGGATTCACATAAATTGGTCGATTATATAACTGTGCTATTGGTGTTATTTTATCTCGCATACTGTCATACGACTAATTATTATTAATAATTTAATGTCTCACTATATAGTCAAATAAACAATAAAAGTAAAATTGTAAAAAACACGTTCGACTTTTTGAAATGATTCTATTTTTATAAATAGGAATCTTATTTCTGAGATCTAGCTATTTGAATTATACTTTAGATGAATTCTTATAAAAATTCTATATTATTATTATCTTCTAACAAATGATTTGTTTGTTTGATTTTTATTATCTGTAGGAATGTAATAAAAAAATTTTCATACTTGATTTAAGTTCCTATCGATCAATATTAAATTCATAAGTCATTAGTTGCAAGAAGGTAACAATATTGAATTCTTATTTAAGAATTCATCTAAGATATAGTTCAAGCAATTAGTTGTACGAGATATGAGTCTTCTCTTTAGAAATACATTCAACTCAAAAACCAAACCTTTCATAACATGCTGAGGTATACGATAAACATTATTCTACCTTTAATAAACTCACCTAACTATTGAATGTTCTGCGAAATTAACATTTTTTGTGCATTTTTTGCATAGATAAGGTTGAAAAGACATAAAAAATAGATATTATAACATCTAAGCTATCATGTAAAATTTATTATTCTCAATTAATATCATCATTAAGGAATTGTCTTATTATAAAACATGATATAATGTATTTTATAAGGAGTAGCTACCTATTTCGACTTCAAATAAAAATGCACACTTCAAGAAACATATCAGTGAATGAACACAGATAAGTATAGATTTAGTTTTTCTTTATTGATAAATTATAGTTATACATACAGGATGTCCCTAAAAGTCACTATATAAAAAGAAATTTGAATATCTCCACAGCTCTTTCATCAAAAGAGCTAATTTTTTTGCTAGTGACGAAGGATACTTCAAAGTTTTTTTTCATAAGAAAACCATTAACGAATACAAATTTGCAACATCGCTTTTGACTTCAATATTGAAATGTACCCATTTTCGATTTTTCAAAAAATCCTTTCGAGGGAGTGTCCCCAAGATTATTAAAAGCTTTTGAGGGCATATTGTTTCGATTGCTAGACGACCACTGGACTATAACGACCTTCAAAAGATTCATGCTCTTATGCAGTTTTGGCTGAGATATGAAATTTTTAGTGGATTATCTCTCCTCGATGACCGCAATTTTTCGAAGAAAATCATAGCTTCTAATTTTGATCTGAACATGT